TGGCTCTGTATCTCCCATAGCACATCAGGCAAGGTCAGGTGTGAAGGAAGCCCTCAAGAGACACAAGGTAAACCGAGTCGAGTTGTGTTACGGCCAGAGGAGGCCGGCCCAGACAAATCACCACTGAGTTACGGTGCATGTGACACGTAGATGTATACGTCTGTCTCTAGAGCTGGATGAGTATATCTAGAAATTTAATTTTCTTTTTCCTCAAAGAGTCAGGGATACCACACTTTGTGACATGTCTAATTTCATCTGAGCCTCAGCCCCATGGGCTGTAAAAGGACACATTTAATATTCCCATTTAATGGATTTGGAAATCATGCAAAGAGAGAGTCACTTATTTGCTGGAAGAAACACAAATTAACCACAGTCTGACAACTGGTCTCCAATATCTCCTACACTTAGTTCAGTATCTTATTCCCGCAGCCACACTGCATTTTTGCACTTAAAATTTTTCATATATTTAAGTCCTAAGTGAAGAAAAATGGCAAGCCAGATGAGAAAATTAATTTCAACATATTAACCAGATAATCTAAGTATCTGTTTTTCTTTTTTTCTAAGTACTTACCATCACTGTGAACGCATGCACAGCAGGGAAGTTCAGTGTCGGATCATCGGATCTCTCTTGGTAGACCACACGGTACTGGGAGATAATGCCATTGGGAGATTTTGGCTTCGTCCAGTTCAGCAGAACTGAATGAGCACCGGTGGCCTGAGCCCAGGGTGCAGGCAGATCTTGAGGTGGGGCTTCCAGCGTCCGTGCAGATGACCAGAGACTCTCCACGGAGCCCCTGGAGTTGTGGGCTCTGACCCGATATTCATAGAGCGTGAAAGGCCTCAGACTATCTGCATCGTCAGTAAATTCAAGGGCTCCTTCTGACCAGACAAATAAAAGGGATTCTTCTTCAGTGCCAGCAGGACGTCTGGAAGGAAACCAGGAAGGTGATCAGTGACACTGCGCATTTCAAAAGAAGGTGTGTAGACAGAGTAGGAAATTGCTTTTCAGAAGAATTTGTTATGAACTCAACTTTTCAATGACCGTTTCGACCGTTTCAATCCTTTTGGCATCAGAATGAAGACCAAATGGAAGTGAACACCAGAGGCCTGACTCAGTATCATTTTTTAAATGTAGGGGGTATATGTACATCTTAAAATGCATAAAGAAGGCATGTATTTCTTAGAAAACCTGGCAAAGAAAACCAGAAGAAATAAGAAAATTTAAAAAGTGAAACACCACTCATACACACACATTTTGTTGTATTACCTTAGAAACTGTTCCGAAAACAAAAATCACACATACCCTAATGGAAATAAATATGTCATTTAAAAATTTAAAGAAATCAGAAGCATCTACATAAGCACTTATGAACTTTTTGGTGTTTCCTGGATCGTTGTCTATATGTTGATGCATATGTGTTTGAGTTTGTACATTTGCACATACAGTTATATTGGGACTTTAACTTTTGCACAGCTGGAAACAAAACTATATATAATCACTAAAAGCTGATATCATTGCGAATGCTTATCAGTCCCTTCTTGGCCTTCTGTGGCCAATGGACTGCATGCAATAAGTGCCCCATTTTGTTTGCCTCCTTGAGTCCACGTCTAATGTGCTAATGTGCTCCCAGACTCACGCTGAACTTGGCCAATGGGACAGAAGCAGATGCAATGAGTACAGGTGTGTGCACACCGAGGCTGACCCCATTGCTGCTCCTGGAATCATAAGATCTCCATGGGAAAAGCCCCGGCTGGCACATTAAAGGATGCGGGATGGTTGAGGGAAGCCCACAGCTCTTACTCTCTTTCACCTCATACCATGCTATTTTGCATTTATTTCCGGGATGTTTTTTAAAATGTTTTAAATTCACTTCCTGCCTATCACTTATTTTCTCCCCAGTTGAATTCCCTCTTTTTTAATTAATCCATAACTTTTCAAAGGAAGGACCATTCTTTCTTGTATTCATCAACAAACCTTTATTGAGTGTTTATTATGCATCAGGCCTTGTACCAGGGGCAGAGTATGAAGGTGAACACACTCCTCCCCTAAAGGAGCTCATGGCCCAGGGGAGCTACATGCAAACGAGTGAAATTAACATGGTAAGTCATATAATAGGAATCTGCTTCAGAGCTTCTTAAAAGTCAAAAGTCAAATTTCCTTTAGAAGGTTTCTTCAAAACCTAGCAAAAAAGCAGCATATGCTCAAAACTTCTTTCAACTACCCGAGAAGGAAATTATTTAGTCTCATCTTTAGATTTTATAGATATCAAAACTAGGGCTTATGACTTAAGTTAGATAAAGACAAATATCACATGATATCACTTATCTGTATAATCTAAAAAAAAATAATACAAATGAATTTATTTGCAAAACAGAAAGAGACTCACAGATGTAGAAAATTTATGGTTACCAAAGGGGAAAGGGTAGGGGGAGGAATAAATTAGGAGTCTGGGATTAACAGATGCACACAACTATATATAAAATAGATAAACAAGAAGGACCTACTGTATAGCACAGGGAATTATATTCAATATCCTGTAACAACCTATAATGGAAAAGAACTTGATAAAGAATATATACATAATATATGCATAACTGAATCACTTTGCTGTACAGCTGAAACTAACACAACATTGTAAATGAACTACACTGCAATAAAAACAAAAACAAAAACAAAAAAACTAGGGCCCGTGCAAATTCTTTTGGGAATCCATACATAGAGCATTAAACATCTAAGTAAGAGAAATGAAACTTGTCTGTTGTTGGGACAGCCCCCAAATATCTGAGATTTCATTTGGAACAGGTATTTGCTCATCTGGGTGTAAAATCATGATGCAGACCTGACCAGAAAGGGAAGTTCCAGAGGAAGTGCGGTTGGTCTCTTTCTGTGTTCCCAGCATCTGAGCCCAGTGAGGTTAATAGCTTTTTTGAACGAATGGCCAAAACACAAGTAATTCCAGGGCTTCTCTGCATCTTCGCCTTGTCTCTATCAGTGTTTCCTTCCTACTAGGGTAAGTACTCTAGGTTGGGGAAGAACGTACCCAAGAGAGGACCCTCTCCTCTAACCTACTCTCCAGTTGAGAAGACTGATGAATAAATCAGTATTTTCCAGGCTGTTAGGAGTATTTAATTAACACGCTCTTCAGATGCCGGCATGTTCACATGCTGCCATGTCAGATTAACCATCACAACGGAAAGGGTTATTAAGACAAAGTAAATGACAGTCCCTTTCACGAAAAGGCAGGATATTTAAAATCTCTGGCTTTGGGAATTTGATGATGCTCACGGTGGTAAATGACTATGACCTAGGTACGAGCAATGACAGTCTTCCTGCTGGAGGCCACAGAGGCTTCACAGATCCTCTCGGCGACCTGCAATTACGGTCCAGCAGCCCACCTATCATTCCCTGCTACCACGCGTGGGCCAGACTCTGCGCTCAGTGCAGGTTTGCAGGGTTTGGCCTTTGTACTTGCTGCGGATACCAGGGACCAGGTGTGTCATTGGGAGGGATCCATTCTAATGAGGACCACAGGGCTCACAGCCAAGGACTTCTCTCAGTGAGTTTTTAAAAAGGTGTTTGCTGGGAACATAATACATCATACAAACATATGAACTTCTATGAGGAAATAAAATGCTCTATTTCGTCTGGCTTCAAACTTTCTATGACAACTCAATTCATTTTTATTAAACTCTCATGAATTCCCAAATTGAGGTGGAGCCATGGTTGTCGTAAAACTGATGTTCTATTTAAAAAAATAAGAAAAAAAGAAAGAAAATTCAAAAAAAGAAAAAAACATACTAATAAAGAATACACACACAACTGACATTTGAAAAAAATTGTCTGAGAGTGTGAATTTAAAAAATCTATACTTTGTAAGAGATAAAATACTCTGTTAGCCTCAAGTTTATCCACCAAAACAATGAAAGGATGCAGCCTGGTTAAGTATTTCTTATCACTATTGAATATTTAGTAAATAAATATTTTGGTGAGATAAACATTCCATCTGTGGCGTTAAAGAAACAGAACATTTTTATTTATGAATAAACTTAGAACAGAAGATGTCGTGTAGGTGACAGTTATTCCTAATGTATTTACGATGTAGGCATCAGCTGTTCATTTAGCTGGAAGAACACCTCCTAAACAGTCTACGTGTAGGAAAATCACAGTTTCAGTTCTCTCTGAAGAGCCAAATGGTGATTCTATGCTCAAACTCATTGGGAAGATACTTCAATAACGCATTTTTCCAATCAGAGTTAATTTAATGTTGCTTAACACTAAGAAGAAAACAAAAATTAGTATTAAAACTAGGAACTATATATTTTAAAAGGCATTCATACATATGTTGTCTTACTGTGGTATAACCTTTTAAGGAACTCGCTACCATCTTGGAATGCCAGCAATTCTCAGTGCTTATCTTCAGAATGAATTTCTGAATTCATTTCCCTTAACAATTTAAGATTATGAAACTGCCGCCCTTACCTCATGAAGAATATTAAAAATACTCTGAATTTAAATAGTCAGAAACATCTGTAGTCAGAGGAGATGGGTTGTAGGACTTGGTCTTTCCACTTCATGAAATGATCTTGGGCACACTCACCTCTGTTCTTTAGTTTACATTTTACTTTTGCAAACTGGAGTTAATAATCTTATAGTGTATAATGTCTAGAATTTTGGTGAGAATTAAACCAAGTAATGGACATGAAGATCACTGGGTCAAATGTAATACATGATACCCATGAAGTTATCATAGAAATGATGTCCAAAGCTGTATTTAGGCAGACAAATACAGCAGTTGTGCAAAGGCTCCACTGAACCGGGAGTGACACCAGGCAGTCACACAATGAAGAGGTCACCTCAAGGGTCCACATGAGGATAAATGTGGATTCTGAGCTAGGCTGACGGTAGAGGCCATGGAAACAGATGATTTAGAAAATGCTTTGGGAAGGTTGAATCATCTAGCTTTCTGGAGTGAGTGGCTGCTCTGGTGTCAAGGGAAGGGACTTCAAAGACCTCCCCAAAATTTGAGAACTTAACTGCATCTAAAACTCTTCAGTGATTGCCACGCAGCCAGCCTGTGCCTATCACTCTGACCCACCGACTGAGATTCCTATTTCCATTTTACATTCCAGTCAAAATCCAATGCTTGCCTACAGTCCCCCTGTTTACCGTGGTGTTTCATGCTTCCACGACTTTGATATCTGCTAATCCTGTTCTGCAATGCCTCGCCCCATCCTCTTTCCTTTTCTCCTCCTTTCTATAGGCTAACTCCAAGTCATCTTTTAGAACCCTAACCTCCAGTCACTTTCCCTGGAAAGTCTTTCCCTTGCTTCTCTCTCAAAGAGAGTTATAATATCCTTCTATGTGCTCAGTCTTTTCTTTATTGATTCACTAGTCACACCATATTGTAACGACTTCCCTTTCTCCTATATCTCTCATACTACAAGCTCCCTGAAAGCCAAGACTCTCTCTTACTCCTTCAGTATAGTCTCAACACCTAGTGAAAAATGGCACCCCAAATTAAACAAGAAGTATCTTTTGAAGCAAGGACTGGATGACTGGTTGACAAGAAGAGTCCAAGATGTTGGTTCCAAGAAGAATGAGAAAAATGTCCCCATTATCAAGTTATCGTTTCTCAGCTCTAACCCGACTCTTCTATACTTGGCTTTATGGCCGTGGAGCTGGGACTCTGCCATCCACATTTCTGCTCTACCGCTGACTCCACGCCGGGCTCTCCCAGTAGGGGGCGCCAGAGGGCGATCAGAGAACTGAACGGAAAAGGAAACTGGATCCTCCCTGCTTGCTTGTTGATTAGGTGAGCTTCTCTCCAGCAAGGATTCTTCACCTTGGAAGCAGTAGATTCTTCTTGAGAAGCAGGTGATTCAAGTGTAAATGTTTTCCAACACTTGGAAAACCAGCCTCGTCACA